TTGGAATTGTTAGCCAGAGATTCAATGGGAAATGCTGCTCTGGGCATGGGTATTACAAAATGATGTCAGATGTCCCAGTTTGTCAGTTTAGATCTCTAGAGATTTTGCCTATCAAACTGAAATCTTCCTACTTGCTATGGGTTCTCTTGAATTTAGATCCAAGGTGGTCTCTGCTGGAAGTAAACTTGCAGCATGGAGTGCTCTGGCTTTCTGTAAGCAATCTCCTTGTTCTCCTTCAAAAATAACAAGATGCTTGAATGTGTTGTCAAACCTGGGGTTAAATGAGCTTCCCTGGTCCTCAGTTTCTGCAGAGTCTGCTGAGGAATGCATTTTGCCTTTTTTTTACAAGCTGAGCTGTAGCCTGTAATCTAGTCTCAAAAGAGGGCACTTGTTTAATTTAGGGAGCTCTACCTTGATTCTAGAATACCATGGGATCTGTCTAGGCTTAAGAGAATGTGGGGAGGCAGGGGAGAACATCACTGGAGTTCCCAGATGGAAGTGAAGTACAGAAGCTGGGAGGAGTGGATGCTTTTTGTTTCATTGGGTGTGCTGGGGAAGCCCCTTTCCTCCTCACAGGGCATCTGGGAAGGGGCTAGGTTTTGCATGCTCACTTCCATGCCCCAGCATTTCATTTGCGCCAAGTCCATCTCCCTGCAATTCCATCCCTCTCCACCTTGGGTGAGGGCAGAGATGAAGATCTGGAGTGAAGCAGCCCTCGTCCCCCAGAGCACTTCCCTAATTCCCTGTGGAACTGAGATGTGATGGATGGTCAGAAGTGCATCTACTGAAGAGGAGCCAGGGCCTGCTTGTACCACTTACTGCTGTCATTTTAGGGGGTGGGCATACAAGCTTGAGGCCCCCAGACCAGCAATTCTCTTGAACTCTTCTAAACAAGCCTTTGGTGCCCCATTCCTCTTGTTTCTCTGGGGGCTGAGGTCCCCCTAGGCTGTCTCTTCCATTTCTTTCTCTTAGATGTTGTTTGTTGCCTCTTCTGCTCCCTTTCCCCTCCTTTGTGTGTCTATGCATGGGCAAAAAAAAAAAAATCACCAAGGCCCTCTGAGTAAAAGCAAGGGACTCTGCTGTCCACAGCGTTACAGCCACTCATGCACGTGCAGTTTATTTCCTTCCTCTATAAACACAACTGTAATCTCTTCTGGCATGTTATAGTAATCAGCTCATGTACTTAAAATAGTCTCTAAGAAACACAATTCACCACCTTACCGAGTCTGTCTGGTCTGTCAGTGGGTGGGGAGGGGCTGGGATACCAAACTTTTTTTAACACTTTTTTTCATTTCCATACTCTACGCAAACCTGAAGTTCTGGCTCTCAAAGCAGTGGGTAGTCTTCCATTGCAATGATGGTAGTTCCAGTTTTACTGGAACTGTGTGCTAGACAGAATCCACGGTCTGTATGGACCAGCAGCTCTGGTGAAGAGGCTGCCCAATCCAACTCTACATCTATCCACCAAATGTCCAGCCACTGCATAATGCATGAGGATGTAGTCTGCTGAATGGGAGGGTGTGCTGCTGGTAGCTCTAGTTCCTCAGGCTGTGCTGCTTTTGCCTTTCAACAACCTATCCTCAAACACAGAAAACAATACTGTGTTGGTGTTGGGACATGTGTTCATGATCCAGATGGAGAGCTCCAAGAGTAGGATGCTGTTCACAGTCTATCTTGGAGCATGGCTGGAATAAAGGTAAGTGCCCCCTTGTTTTGCTTCACTGTACACTTCAAACTCATTAAAAAGAAATGACAGAGCTTTGTCCAGTGCAGACTTATTTTAAAATTAGGTACTTGTACCGTTATCTGCCCTTGCTGTTAAAAGGTTTAGGTTGTCAGCCAATACTCCCTGGCCCTTGTGGTTCCCTTATGACCAATCTTTGTCCAATCTTAAACATCACCAAAATCATACCAGAACAATGTATGGTCAGTGGTGAATTTGGAGCAGTGTAGCTAGGCTAATTCTTTCACAGATGAAAGCCTTCCCAGGAAAGGAGGGTGCCTGGACTGGGTGGTAGATTGAAGCAGTATGTACAGCCTAAACTTCAACACAGATCAGGCCTGCACAACCTGAATGAACTAGTCTTGCTACAATTCCTGCCAAGTTTTGTGTTGCCTTTCTGTTAGTTCTCAGCCTTGTTTATGTAAGGGGTAGGAAAAACTTTTTCCTAACAGATGCGTTTCCAGACCATTGACTATACAGTGTCTAAGACCATAGCCAAACCTAGGAACTTGAGTGTTTGCTTTCCAAAGCTGGCTGGCTGCTCTGGAGCACAGCTGGGGCTGACCATGCTGCTGGAAGCTGCCCCAGGCTTGTGCCCAACTTGTGAGTCACTTGCAAGTTTGCAAGAGAGTTGCATGTCTAACCATAAATCATCCTGTAGGTTGTTAAACTACCATGCTGTGCTGGGAACTCACTTTCTGAGGTGCCATCTGTTAAACCATCAGCACCTCTGCTGCTCCTGTAGAGTCTGTTACTCTGGACAACACATAGTTTTAAATGTGTGCTAAAAGCAAGAGCAAGGCTCTGGCAAATGGTAGTTCTTTAATTAGAAATTCAAGCTCTGCCTTTAAACATGCAACTCCCATATCAACTGACACCTTCAGATTTGGTGAGCCCTCAACTCTACTGCTCTTAAATGGATGTGTCTTAAACCTTCATGTTTGTAGATGCCCTAGGCCTTCCTCTGGTCTTTTCTGAGGTTTTTATGTACTGATCAGAGAAGGCTGCATGCTCTCATCAGCTGGGCGTGTGTGTTGGTTTCTTGTCTCAGCTGGAGAGTAACTAAAAGATAGTGGGGGCAGACGTTAAACATTTTTCTTCAGAGTAGGAATGCAGCATCAACACTTCAACAAACCTAGCTTCCCTGTGAAGTGACAGACATCCCTGCTCTGAGATATCCACTGGAGTTAGAAGCCTTAACTTGGTGAAGAGAGGCAATAATGGGGAAGTACAGAGGTTTTATCTTTGTTCTGAACTCTAAGCAAATAATTAATCTGAGACATGTAACAGATAATGATAAAGGTTTTAAAAAACAGGCAACTCAGCTGTGTCTGTTGGATACATGAGTTCAGCCTAGTGTTTATTCTGGGTTCCCTACAATGCTTCCTCTTGGAAGATCTAAGTGGATGCCTTCATAAAATTTCCACTGTTTACAGGCCAAAATAAAGTTGCACTTCAGCTGCCATACTTCTGATAATTTTTGACTTTTTTTTTGGCCAGAGTTATTCAGAACACCCTTATTTGCTCTGCAGGCTTCCAATATGAACAGCCCTGTTAACATACTTTTCTTCAGTGTGTAGACCCACTAAATGATTCTTTCAGAAGCCAAATGAGTCTGTCTTTTCATATTCTCTCCTCCCATGCTGCTTTTCCAAAAGCATTTGTACTATTTTTTATAAACTTGCCATAATCTCCAGCTGCTAAGCTGTTTTTTAGTTCATTGCCTTTAAGCATGTACTTGGAAGCTGAAGGTGCTTTCCTCTTGTACTCACCAGACCCCTTTAAATATTGCACTTTAAGTATAAAGAACTGTAAGACTGAATACGGCCAATCCCACTGGTGTGTTCCTGATCTCTGTGGTTCCCTCTCTCCTTCCACCAACACCACTACTGCCCTTTTCATTTCTTGACGTAGCACATGTCCACCCCTTGGATTTTATTGAACCTGTCCCAAGAGACTGGTAACCCTTTCCTCAAATTACTTCTAGGTTTGACCTCAATCTGTGCAGATAAATCTCACACCTATTGGTCCAGCTTCTCTAAGCACTCCAGCAAGCAGAGTTTAGTTCTAAATATATTGCATATTTTCTGAAGCGGTGGTTTTCTCACTTCCTAGCTTCTCTAGACACTTACACTTGTAGTACGAAGTACATGATGTACTTCCGTGCATTTCCTGTATTACCTTAATTCTTAGGAAAAAATTACTTTTGGTATCTGTCAAATTGTGACTGCCACACTGTAAAGGAACAAGTTTTCAGCAGATAGCAGGTCCCACAGACACAGGGGCCCTTTATACCCTGTCTCTGAGGGTTGTTCCACATACCAAAAGAGCTCACATCTCTTTCCTTGTTTCAGCAGCACCAAACACTTCCACAGATCCTCTGCTATTATTTCGAAGCTCCTAAACATTCATCCCTCTTCTCTCTGTAATTTCCCTGTCGTCTAAACCTTTTTCTCATCCTCTTTCTTAAGCACATGGAACTACCCCCTTCTGTGCTGCTTACTCCTACAAACCAAACCACTCTAATACTCCAACTTACCCAGAAAATTATTTTTTCCTCCTGTACTTCCCTTCCCTCTCCAAGCACTTGTATTTCTACTTCTCTGTCTTCCCCCTGCCTGACAGATGCTCCCAGTCCAAAAAGACTACTTTCTTTTCTTCAGTGTCCTATGACCCTGGAGGTGCTCCTTGCATGTTTTCTATGTCCTCCAAATAACTGTGCTATGCTTCTAACATACCAATC